CACACACACACACACAAACACTAGTGGGGGTCATTGCCACATCAGGTAAGTAAACAGGAGCAGGTCAAGGAGTTAAATATTAATACACTTATTTTCTACTCCTGACTGTGGAACAACAACATCTACTAATCATAGTTTCAAGTTAGTGAAAGCACACAATTATGAGACAAATATTATAAACACTTTATTTTGGGATTATTTGTCATCCTGTATTTGTCATTATGTGTCTGTTTTTAATCCAGCAGCTGTAAATAACCTTTATTTAATTTTTCAATACTGTCTCATTCCTCCCATTTTTAGCAGCGAATCTGTCTCATAAGCGAAATTCCACACTGTCCCCTCCTCTTTACAGAGATAATCCGTATATCCACGCACACCACCGCCCCCCCTCCCTCCTATTTTGGCCTCACAGTCAGGAAACAGGATTTTTTTCTCCCCCTGCAAATATATATTTTTCCATAAGCTGATTTCTAGAAGTTGGGCTTTTATTGTCTTCCCTAAACGTCATTTGATTCCTAAATTAAGAATGAAAGAAATATTAAAACAGCACGCAGATATATGCGTAGATACAAAAGTATAAAATGGGATCACCCAGGGCGCCATCGCTCAAATAGGTCACAGCTTTTATGGCGCGTTGTTAGGCGGAAAAAAAAGTTTGTGTGTGCCATTGTGGTGAAGTTTAGTTCTCATGTCTGTGCCAAATAATTGGCAAGAGATCATTATATTACAGGGCCTGTTCGCCTCTGCATGCAAGCACAACCTGTGAGGCACGGAACACACATCTGTCTCCTCGGGGGAAATATTTATCGGACATTTCTGGGTTTTAATATTTCTCGTTTTCTACGAATTAAACCGCACGGCACAGCTGCAGAGTACTTGAAATTATAACTTCGTGCAAATGCCGATTATCCCCGTGCGTAATTAAGTTAAGAGGAGAGATGCTGGATGAGAGGCACTTCGATGCACAGCTCTGACGACGCTCGTTTGTTAGAGAGGGTCCGCCGATTGAGTGATAATGGAGAAATCCCGCATCCAATTTGAATGACCTGGTTTGAATGAGGGGGGGGGGGGGGGGGGTGGCATCACCCTTCAACAAAATAATGTTCCATATCAACAACTTTGAATTACAGATACGCTATTATTAATAGAAATAGGTATTTTTCCTGAGGTGGCCCACACAGAGCGCTCTGCATACCTGTGCAGAAATACACAGTGCAGAAATCTGCTGATTTACTTTAATGCAACGAGTCTACAATCTAATTCAGCTTGATACGGTTTTAAAAAAACAATCCAAAAATGTTGACCTTATATAGTTCCACTTTTCTCACACATTTCCTCGTTTTTTCTTCAGTTCCGTGAGGTTCTTATGGGAAGTAATCTGCCTCAGACTTTCCCCTCAGGAACAGTTTAATACGCTTCTATGTTAATTTCATAAACAGAATTCCCCACCTGTTTTAGAGTTGGACACCCACTGCCTTGTTTGAACGGACATTTCCCTCTGTGTGTAAATTATTCTCATTAACTTCCCTGAACAATCCGCAGTTCGGTTCATACATTTGTTTTCTGTGTGTGTGATTTGGATTTTAGTCATCGGTCTGTGCGATTCAGGGTACACACGATGCGTCCTGTGAAATAATTCTGTTGGGTTTGTATTTCCCGAGCTGCGCACTCATCATAGAAAGCGGTGAATCGGTCATCAGTGAGCCATAGTACTGTAGGAACGTGCGTGTTAACTCAACATAGAACAAACATACGACTCCAAACCTTTACAATTGTATTTCATTAGGTCTAACTCTAATTAAAAGCTCCGAGTATTTCATAGAAACTGTGACAGGAAAGCTGATATTTCTATGCAATAAATGAAATATCGGTGCAGGATTCATTGCTGGATCTTTAAAGCAGCCTGTTTCCTAAGAAGGCCTCGTCGTGTGTGTCTTTTTAAAATATTGTTTGCATGTTCCTGTGATTGTGTTTTTATTTACAGCTCTCGGTGTCTCCAGAAGCGCTCTGGAGACACCGAGAGCTGAAGTGTCCGTGAGCAAAACACCAACTCCTTATCAGCTCCAGGGGGCTGCCTGACCCCTGCTCTGTGGAGAACAGGGGAGTCTCCCCATCAAACGTGTTATTTATTACTATCATTTTTGGACAACTTTCTTTGGCGCAGAGACGCACGGCTGTCCCCAATTCCGCACACGCAATTACAGCTGTACAAAAGGCACGAGAGGTATTTCTTTTTATAGTTAATGACTTACAAAGAGCATCGATGAAGATGAATGAAAAGAAAGAGATAAACTTAAAGTCTGTGTTTATTAAAAGTCGGAATCGAGCGAACATGCTGCTGAAGAATGCAAATAATGAAAAGTTGATTTTTTAATGAATTTTAAAAGTTGTTTTTATTGAATGACACCATTTACTGCTTTGATTTGTTAAACTGGTATTTTAATACAAAGCGGAATATGACTTATCAATTCAGAAGAAAAACAAACTAAATAAATAAATATTGCTTAAACCGATGTCCTCACAATCCGGTTTAAATTAAACTATACATTTGTTCTACAAAGATTCCTTTCAGTTTCTCCGCACATGAGAAAGGTTGGTGAAGCAGACTTTGAGTTTACCCTCCGCATCCTCTGCTCCTCTCTCCTCTCCCTCCCTCTCCCTCTCGCTCTGCCTGCGCGCTGTTTTTCGGGGGCTCCTTATAAATAAAATCCACCGTCCCGGTTCCTCTCCTTATTGGTCAGGGTGGAGCCGTTACCTCACTTCAGGGGCCAGTGACGCAAACGTCTCACGTATTCCTTCTATTTGCGCTCTTCTTGTTTCTTATTGAGAGTCTTTGCTGTCGGTCAGAGGAGAGAAAAAAAAGCGGATTCGCGACGAACCGAGAGTGCAGGACGGACCGGGTGCGCTCGATACTAAACACTTCCCATCCCGGGAGAGAGCGGCGCGACGAGAGGCATGTCTCTCTCTCTTCTCTCTCTCTCCTCGCTCTCTCTCTCGCTCTCTCTTCTCTCTCTCCGCCCCCCGCGCACATACACACTCACGCCCGCGCGCACGCACGCTCCGCATACGTCTCCACTTCGCCGTAGTAAATTACGGCATTGATCTTAACGGCGAGTGCGGATCTGTCTCTTGTGTTCGCCCTTTCTTCGACGGACCGACTTGGAGAAACCCTCGACAGAGAAGTAAGTACAAACATGTATTAGTTCATATTGTATATATTATATTATATTATATATGTGTGTGTGTGAGTGAGTGTGTGTGTGTGTGTGTGTGTGATTTGTCCGACTGCATCTTGTTCTTTGTCACTAAACTTTCACTGTTAGTTCATGGAGACGGTCCATCCTCGTCTCACATCGCGCATCCACATGGGTTACTTGGATTTTGGACTATTTCCCGAAACTATTTCTGCTCGTACCGACTTTAAGCGCGTTGCTCTCAAACTGCTCCTGATTTCTGTCAGCGAGTCAGCGTCAACTAAAACCTCTGAGGTCTGTTTTAAAAGTAAAAAGTGTTTTAAAAAGGGGGGAAAAGGAGGTGTTGGTAAGTGCTTTACTGTCATTGGCAGTTTATTGCAGAGTTCAGCTCGCAGGGTTTGACGCACCTGCCGTTGCTTTTGGGTTTCGTGGTAGTTTTCGGTCAGCTGATGATTAACAAGTAATTCAACTCTTCTCTAATTAAAGCACATAAAGAACTCTGAATAAGAGACAAAATACTCCTGCTTCCAAGTCAAATAAACGTCTTCCCAGTCCATTTTACTGATCTTTGGTGAAGTCATTCAGCATCCACCTTTGTTTCCAGAGAGGCTACTCACACTTCATCTTTAAAACAAGAGCAAAGTGTTTTGGAAACAAGTTGATTTATCTAAAGAAAACTTTACAAGCTTGATAATAAAAGAATAAACGGCATGTTGTAATGGAAATGCTTACAGCTTTTGCCAGCAGAGCTGCCGCTGTGGAGTCCTTATTGTGGACAAATTGTTGTTCGGACCATGACAAACATTTATCTGCTGTATATTTGCCGTCCATAATGCTGCCGTGCGTAAATGTAACAACTTGTGTTTTCTGTCTCTGGACAGCGGAGCTCTGCGCTCAGTGCGCACACAGTCAGTACAGCGAGGACTAAAGATCCACTTCTCACTGGAGCTATCAGTAATAACCACGTTATTTGGTTCCTCTTTGAGATGCAGAAGGAAGCACAAGGTGTGCTGATTATAACCTCCATCTATTAGAAAAAAAACTTTTATTAATAAAAATCATTTTGACCTTTTCTGTTTGTAATTTTAGTATTTTTATAAGGCTAAAACATCCGGATAATGTTTAAAACTAACAGGCGTTACTTTCCACATCATACCTACAACAAAGAGAATTTAATTTAGCCATGAGCCACCACAGGCTTACCTCTTAAATGGAAATATGCCATTTACAGTTACTACTACAGCTACTTCCCATTTCAGTTCTCAATTGCAGAGCAAGTTATTCCTGCTCTTTAAATTCAGATTAAAACCCACGTTTCTGTTTTACCACACACACTCTCACATCATCTTTCACAGACTGTACATAAACGCAAAAGGTTTTTCAACTTCTTGTCTATTTAAACACCGTATATTGCAGCAAGAGTCTAAGTCTGAGTCTAACTTTGATTTTTAAGATATTAGTAACAGAAAAGGTGATGAAGGCATTTTCCTCCTCTGTTGTCTTGTGTTTCACTAAAGCAGACACGAAACATTTGCTGGTTTTACACCGATGATCCCTCAAGCTGACCTCGGACACAAATTTCAAAATAACCAAGTTTTCAAGCTCTTTGGACCCCCTAATCTAAACTGTTTGCCTTGCACTCTCTCTACCTCCCCTGTGTGTGTGTGTGTGTGGAACCAATAATGCAAACACAGAGCAATGTGTGTATGCATGTACTGTATGAGTGTGAGTATCTGGGTCACTGCCGGGCACTGTGTTGAGGGGCTGAGTGTTTTTCTGAACACCTCTCGTGTACAACACTATGACTCGGAGTTAGTATTTTCTGCCTCTCTTTAATATATTTCTGTCATTTCAACTGTGGAATTAAAACTGCTCTACCAAACTGTTGGAGGAAGCAGCTTCAATTTGTGAAATATTTCCATAGTCTTGACCCTGAAATCACTTGCAAAACAGATGCAAACATGTTACAAGGAAAATGCTGCCTGCACGCGCGTGTGTGTGTGTGTGTAAAGTGTGAGCAAATATTGACTTCAACCTGTTTTTAAAAAATGGCCAAGGTTTATTTTTTGTGACGCCTTTCATAGAAATGTTTTCCATTTTAATATATTAAAAAGGTTTAATTCAGCTATGGTCAGAGACTTTTGTTTCTGGCAGAAAGGTTATGATATCCTGTACTTTCTGCTGAATTTTTTTTGCAAGTATCTCAGTCAGTCTAATCCACTGATAGGTGATGGTTCTGGATATGAATGAAGCCATCTCTTCAACATTTCACTTCAACACCCCTAGGATAGTTTTAGGTGTTTCCAGAGCATCAATAGAGAAACGTAACCTTTATGAGGTGCTTTCACCACCACCACAGGTGTCCCTCTCTACACTTACAATGTAATTGTTAAGATATATTCACTCATGACAAAAAAAAAGCCTATTATGTGGAGAAATTGTTAAAATATACCAAAAGTACAATAACATAAAAATTCACTTCTTTTAAAAATGTAAGTACCTTTTAAAGAAAGAAAATCATTTTAAAAAGTAAAAAAGAAAGCACACCAACAAAAAAAATCATTTTCTTTCTTTAGAGTGGATTGAAATCCCTTTGACAATAAGAGAGAGCCTGTCGATTCTTCACAGCTCCTCACAAGATGCAGAAATCAAGGTTGCCCCTCAGGAGAGGAGGAGGAAATAGGAAATTATTTTGGTTATTACAGGCAGGTGTTACTTCTCTGTGGGAATATCTCCTTGAACTATTTTAAAAAGTGTGTTTCTCTCAATGGTTCCCTTGGCTTTTGGTCACGATATGTACTAAGGGTAATTGTTTGAATTTGGCTTAGTGAGAGATCGAAAAAGTGGCTGCCATATTCATTTTTGTCAGACACGTTGGTTTGAATTGTTTGAAATTTTTGTGATGGTTCACAAGTGGGAATTTTTACACAAGATTTCTACATTTATGTTGGAAAGAAAAAACTTATCTGTAGTCATCTAATCTCTCTTAAGTGTGGAGAATTTGTAATTCTGATATTGTTCTTAAATATAACAAAACGCTTAAGACCAAGTAAACTGATTTTAATTACACAGGTTTTTAATTTGAGCGCTAGTATATCTCACAATTGGAAATCATTTTCAGAAAATTTCCTTTCTATATTTTTATAATGAAGAGTAATTGAATTGATCTACCAGCATCAATGATTGGGCTTCTCTCTGACTGAAAAATAAAAATTTTATGCAGAATTTTGCCAAATGATCAAGATTTCATTTTGGGAATGAAACCTTTAATAGTCTCTGTAGCAAAATGGCACTTTCCAGGTGACATGAAAAGGTATTAATCATAGCAATATGTGTTTATTTGTCTGTTGTCGACCAGGTAACTCCTCTCATCCTGCATGCGTCTGTGAGGACCCCTGGTCATGTCCGTTTAGCTCCCCTGCGTGATGCCTGATCATGACAGCACCACCCTCCTAACCAGACAGACCAAGCGCCGACGTGTCGACATTGGGGTGAAAAGGACTGTGGGTAGCGCGATATTCACCCGCGCCAGGGAGACCCTGCTCGACAGCATGAACCAATCGCACAGCATCGATCAGGACGGAGACTGCTCGCTTGTCAGTCACGGCCATGGGGGTACCAACGGTGACGGAGAGAAGTCAAATGTTTTGAGGAAGTTGCTGAAGAGGGCCAACTCGTACGAAGACGCCATAATGCCTTTCCCTGGCGCGACCATCATCTCTCAGCTACTGAAGAATAACATGGGAAAGAATGGAGGGAGTGACTCCGGCTTTCAGGTATACACAAACACAAATACAGGGACTGGTGAGGTGTTAAGTCAATTAACCAATTTCAGTTTTAGATAATTAATGATTGGTTTTAGTCGCCATTTCATTGAATCAACCTGCATTTTACTCCTCCAACAAACACAGGCCACTAATTTAGTCTTTAATTCCCATCCATTGATCCATTACATTTTTCAATTGTTTATTAATTCAGTACTCCTGTCCTCCATCACAGGGGAGTGGAGCTCTGTCCAGTGGAGGCTCAGAGATCCAGGCAGAGGATGTCTGCAGCAACTCCTCCCGTGACCAGGATAGCCCCTCTGACTGCCTCTCTCCTGGGCCTCCTCTTCCCCCTCCGCCATCCTCCTCCTCCTCCTTCGGGCGGCCACCACCTCCTTCGAGCCATAAAGGCTGTCGGAGTGAAGGCCCTTCGTGCAAGCGTGACGAGTGAAAAATCATCCCGGTATGAGTTCACTCAACCCACTGGTCGGCCAAACGCTGCGACCCACAACGCAAGAAAGCGCAGCAACAACAGCAACAGCAGCAATGACCACCGAGGAGACAGCAACAGTCACAACATCAGCAGCCACGACCACAGGCGAAGTGACGGCCCTTCTTCCCTCCTGAGCTCTCCAGGTTCGCGGGTCGGTGTGGTCAGCGTTGGTGAGGTTTACAGGGAGAATAAGAGAAAGCAGCGCCTGCCACAGCAGCAGCACAGCTTCACCCAGCTGGTGTGTTCAAGGCAGGAGCAGAGACAAGAAGAGAGACGGCAGCTCAAACTGCAACTGGAGGACATGCAGGTTGGTAGCAGAAACCTGGATTTCAGGGTCTCAAGGAAGGCCAACTTTTCAAAGTGGCATAGATTCAAGGAGTACATACATGACATCCTATTCCTTGAATCTGTACCTAGAGAAAGCCAGAGCTGTGATAGAAAACCATTAAGCTCAGTGTTTCAGTGGCGTAGATGCACATGCAATAGCGCAGAGTATAGCAGAACAAAAATGGTGCAACAAACTTGGTTTAAAGAATTTTGTCAGTCCACCAAGTGGGTTAAGGCATACTGTACTATTTCAATATCTTCTTTGGTATATTTATGGTAACAGGTGACCTTCAGGGTTCAGAAGACGTCTTCTTTAACATTCTCTATCCTCTGTTGTTCAGAAACAGCTGCGTCAACTTCAGGAGAAGTTCTACCAGATCTATGACTCAGAGACAGAGGAAGAGGAAGAGAATGGCGAGAGCGGAGAGGCCGACCGAGGTAGAGAAAGAGAGGAGGACGGCAACTTGTCAGAGGACAGTATCCGATCTGACGGCCTAGAGGAGAGGCACAGAGACAGAGGGCGACACAGCCATGACGATCTGTCTGAGCTAGACCCAGGTCTGTTCCTGGACCGGGCCCGAGCCCTCCTCAGAGAACAGGCCCTGATAGATGGAGAAATGGAGGAGGATGTGGACGGCAGGGAGGAGGAGGAAAGGAATGGAGAAAGGGTGTTGAAGAGGAGAGGAGGAGCGGCAGGAGGAGGGGGAGGAGGAGGAAGGCAGTTAGCAGAGACCCTGAAGCAGGAGCTGAACTGTGCCGTGTCGCAAGTTGTCGACACCGTCGTCAAGGGCTTCTCCTCGCCCAAGCAGGCCGTCAGTCATCATCATGGCTGCCACAGCAGCACGCCAGCTGCACCCTCCTCTTCCTCCAACTCATCCTCTTCCTGTCCTCCACCTTTCGGTCCCCTCCCCTCCCTCACCCCAGACTCACGCTTTGGTGGTGGCGCCCTGGCCCTTAGTATGAATGGCGACGGCAGTCCCACTCCTAACTACCACTCCTCCAACCAGAGGCTGCACTGCTTCGGCGATGTAATCGTCCCAAGTCCGCTGGATTCCTTCGGTGGTTTGAGCGGCAGACTGAGTGGTGTGCCAACACCCAACGACCAAACAGAGGCACTGCCGTTGGTGGTGCGCAAGAGTGGCGGAGGAGGTGGAGGAGAAAACACCAACCTCTCTTCTGCTCTTCCTCCTCCTCCTCACCATCCCTCCCTACACCCTTCTCCCCTCACAGCCTCGCTCGGGTTTAGCCCTCCATCATTTCGCCACCCATTCCCTCTTCCCCTTATGGGGTATCCCTTTCAAAACCCACTGGGGTCACACGGTGGTGGAGCTGGCTACCCTCCAGGGCCCAAAGACCACCATCGGTCCTCCCCCGATTCCATGGACATGACCCGGGAAACTGTCAGCCTCAGAACCAAAATGGCATCACTTGGAGGGGGCCACCTCAGTCACCACCACCATCACCACCACCACAGGCAAAGCTCACCAAGCCAACATGGGCCAGAGGGTCTGTCCCTGTCCCTCATCAAATCAGAGTGTGGGGACCTGCAAGACATGTCCGACATATCGCCCTACTCAGGCAGCACCGTATCCTTAATACTGTGAGGTATTGAACCTGTGTGAGTGTTGTGAAGTGATTTACACCTTCAGAAAGAAGCTTTTAGACTTAGGTTAGGTTTCGGTCTTAAGAGAGTTGAGATTAGAATTGATCTGTGTCCCAACTCCATATTACATACTAATTCTGACCTGGTTTTTAGTATCCACTGCGGACAAGATTCAGTACGCTCAAAGCTGTTGCACACTAAATCAACTCAAAGTTTTGAGTGCAGTTGATAGACACTATGGTCCCAAAAAGGAGTGCACAAAGGAAGTAGATAAGTAGAGAATACAATGGACAATATGACCTAAAATATAGAGTATATATATATATCATGATACATTATCATTTCGGTGGAAAAAAGAAGAAATTTTCTTCTTGACGTTGGGTCATTTGACTTTTTGACTTAATTAAATGAGGTCAGATTATTTTATTAAGGACATATTACTTTTGTTAAACACTATCAAGTAAAGGATAATTATTGTTAGTATAAAGAACATCCTTACTTTTACTTTTTGGTTCATGCAAGGAGTTTAAATCTGCAATAATTTGATTTCCCTGCTCCACAAGAGTCACATTTTTAATGCAGTCAAACACACTGAGGCCCCTTAGAGGCGGCAGCAGCAGCAGGCAGTAGTCAAAGAAAGTCTTTAATATCAATTAATCTGCATTAATTGGTTCCTGCTCTAACCCTCTTGTTTCCCAGCTGAGTGGGGAAGATGAAACGGGGCGCGATGGGTCTTGCAAGAGGGGGAAGATTAAACAGGTCGCATGCTGCTCTCTCAAGCTCTTTTAAGTCTGTGCAGCAGGTTGTGGTGTTTAAAGGTGCTGAGAAAGGCTAGAGAGCTCCCTCTTCAACACACACACACACACACACACACAGTCTGAGACACTCTTGTGCTGTTAGGTTCTCTTTCATCACAAAGACTTTGTACATAAATGCTCAAAGCAAATCATATTTCTCTGTGTCTGTGTGGTGTGGTGTGTGTGGGGGGGGGTAAGACATGGTACATAGGAGCTCAAAGCTAATCATATTTCAAAGAGCGCGGGAGAGGAACAGGTGAATGCTTGGCCTTATCGATGGAAGCTTTTAAATGTGTGTGTATAACATAAGACGTGTAATATCTAAAATGTACACGCTGATCTCCTAGTTGTTTCCCTCCCTGTCGTCGGTCGCTCATACTCGCTTTCATTTGTTGGCCTTTGCTGGCAGTTGATCGGTAGCTGTGTGTGTTTTGCTTCTTTTCACAGTCTACACACACACACACCAACACACACACACACACAAACACTCCCTTTCATGGCGTGTGCATGTGGACAGGTGTTTGCAGGTAGCTGTTTATCTTTTCGTTCCTAACCTTTCATATGAAGAGGGCTTCTCCCGGCCACTACGCATGCACACACGTTGACTGACACATGCACATATGCACGCACACACACACACACAGAAATGCACACATGCACGCTTGGAGAACAAAGTGAAAAGAAAAATAAGACTTTGAACCTAACAAATAGGAACTCCTTGCAGCTGTGATGGGGATGTGATCACAGTGTCGTCTTCAAAGCCAATTTAGATGTTGCTTTAATTAAAAAAGAAATATTTGACACGTCTCTTGATCCTGCTGAGCTGTTTCATTCCAAAATGCTTTTCCATTCATTTGGAAGAAAAAAAAGTCTTTGAAATTGGACATTAGTATTTCAAAGATATTGACCACCCTTCAACCCTCCCTTTTTTATTTTGTAGGTAAAAGAATCTAAAAATGTTTGATTTCATTTTAATAACAGCAATCCTTTAAAAAGAGTTAATTCACTTTCAGAAGAAATGTATTTTCCCACTATGAATTCAGTCAATTTATTAATTAATATTATATAATAACTTCGGAACAAACTATAGTGATACTGCTAGTCCTGAAATGATGATGATTAATCATTATAGTGGATGGACAGAAACTTAATAAAACAATTTTCAAAAGAGCAAAAAGCATCTCCAATATGAGGATTTGTTGCTGTTCGTTTTCTTTTGGACTGTTTGCGTTTTGTGATTGTGACAGGTATTTTATTTCACTATTTCATGGCATTTTATAGACTAAATGATTA